AATCCTGCTTAGGTAAGCACTATTATCAGGGGTATTTTATAGTTGAGGAAAGTTAGGCTTACAACATTAGGAAACTTGCCTGGGATCACTTACTAGTTGTTGATATTCTCTAGATTAGCCTTCGAAGCTTTTGACCCTGACCATAACACAAATCATGTTTCTTATAACCATTCAAGGAAATCCTGAATCCATTCAGCTTCCTTGCTGAATCCCAGACTTGATCTTCATATCGGTAACCACCTTTGCAGCCTCACTGCCTTGGAGGTAATTAATTGAATTCACTTGTTGCTTGCAGCTAGAGGAAGTTTGTGATGGGATAGAAAGCCAGGTGACTTTTGAAAAAAATGTCAGTTTTTGAACAATCATTTTGAATACCCCCCAGACTGTATGACCTTGACATTTCTCATGTTAAACCAGTAATTAGCTGTAATCAGCCTAAAAGCAGCCCTGTATGAAGGGGAATTTTGCAAGTCTTATTATGGAAGATATCTGCAAAAGACCAGGGAGTCATTTAGGCAGAAATGTATGAAAGGGTTAAGAAGGGAATTATTACTCCCTTTCATTCACTAGTACAACTGTCTGGTATGAGATTTAGAGATCACTATTTCATGTTCTGTGTTCCTAAAATGTACACAGAAATAATGTATTTTGAATTATCACATGTACCCCAGGTAAGTTAATAGTAAGCTTTTCATTAGGAAGTCATTGAAAGCTTTAATCTGCTGTTGCCAATGCAAAACTCCAGAGCAATTTTAAATAATCATGTGATACCTACAAAAAAACTATGTAAGCAAAATGAAAACTATTTCTCACATTTAGCCAACCCCATACATAGCACATGTGGGACATAGTACCCAAACTGGAACTGGACCATCAGTGATGAGGGACATTTTTCTAGGCCTTTGGTTTTCATTGCCACATAGTATATATTTATGCTTATGAGAAAAACACTTACTCCAGGGAAATTCTTAGCGGGGAGGAAGGGAGATTTCCCAGATATTTATAGCCAAAATATTTCAGAACATAGGTAGCTATATTTATGCTCAGTTCTTATTTTAATAAACAGTGAACACTGCTGCCCACAAAGAAATTTTCAGTATCACTTCAGAAAAAGAAATATTCTCCGCAAATGCATGGCTTTTCTGTTTTAACAAAGCAGTTGAGAGTTTCATAAACACTGCAAAATTTGTTACACCCTGCAGACTTGCTTAGAATTTGCCTCCTCAAATCTATACTATGATGCTTTAAAATATTTAAAAATCTACTTTTGCCGAAGAAGCTAATGAGCCACCTTCCGGAAAGACTGTGAAGAATATGCTCATTGCTTATCAACAACAGAAATTTCTTACAATTCTGGAGGCTGACAAGTCCAAGACCAAGTGCAGGCAGATTTGGTTTCTGGTGAGGGCCTGGTTCTGGAGTGTCCTGCTTTCTAGTTCACAGATGCCACCTCTCACTGTGTCTTTATGTGGCGGGGAGCTAGGTGAGCCCTCTCAGGCCTCTTTCATAACAGCACTAATCCCACTCGTGAGGGTTTCCACCTCATGAGCTAACAGCCTCCCAAAGGCCCCACCTCCTAACTCCATCAACTCAGGAGTTGGGACTTCAACATATAAATTTGGGGAAAAGGGGACGCAAACATTCAGATCATAGCACACACTCTGTACAAAGCTCAGGAAAGTGCTCCTAAACACATTCTCAGGCATCACCTGCAGCGGGATAGGCTCTGACATACCTGTGGATGGATGTGCTCTGCACTACAGTATTAAATGTAGCAACAAGCCACAAAGGTTTCTCTAAGGAACAGCAGCAGCAGCCTGAGAGGAGGCTTCTCCTTCTGACGAAGCCACCTGCCAAGCACTGGGTGGGCTGTGTCCATGCTTTCGCCTCTGACAGTGGATCACAAATACTGAGGGCACATGGGTTTCATGAAAAAACATATTGAAAAAAAGCACTGGGCTGGAAGATAGGAAAATTTGATTCTAATTTTAATTCCATGTCCAACTGGTGGTTTGACTGTAGCAAAGTACTCCTGCAGGTAAGTCTGAGTTTCTTCTTTTGTAAAAGGGAAATGGTATGGTGGGAAGGAAACAAAATTTGAATGAATGGTGTAATATATATATATGTGTGTGTGTGTGTATGTATGTATATATACATATAATGTATATATATTATGATATACATATATATATGTGCGTCTGTGTATACATATATATATATATTGGGGCTTGAAGCCCTCAGATGTTTGGAATAGTTCTAAATATTAAAATGTATTTTTGCTAGAAAGAATTATGATTATCAAATACAGGTACACAATGCCCATATAGTGCTTACACTCTGCAGGTTTTAAATGTCTACATAGCTCTTTCTCATATGTGATCTCATTGGATCCTCTTGACCACACATAAGGCTGAGAGAAGTTATTGTCCATGTTTTGAAGTTGGGAGTTTGTAGCCAGTGGCCCTGGGCCCCATGTCATTTCCCTTTGTCTCACTTCTGATTTGAGCAGCAGCTGTGATGTGACTATTTTGTGAGATTCACACTCGGCTCCTACAGCCAACACCCACCCTGAAGCTCACGCTGTGTTCACGTCCTGTTCCTAGCACCCCCACCCCCACTTCATACACCAGTATCCTAGAAAGCATGGAAAGCTGTGCCCTCGGGAATCCCTCAGGTGACAGAGGGGGACAGAAACCAGTGGGTACTGGCAAATCTGAAAGGAAGTCTGAAGGCTTCAGAGAGATCTCAAGAGAAGCAAGGCCCCAGGAAAGACCCCGTAACCTGTAACACACCCTTCTATCCCTTCTACGTTCTCTTTTCCTGTTTCATTCTCCCTCCTCTGTTGCTCCTGCTTCCAAATAAACTGCTTGTACTCAGTCTTTGACTCAGGCTCTGCTTTGGGGGCACCTAAAGCTGTGGGAAGTACTGGGGCTCAGGAGGGAGGGTGCCTTGCCCAGAGCCACAGGGCGGGAGAGCAAAGGAAGCAGCACTTTCTCCCAAGTCTTCTGGGGTCGAATCCCTTGAATTTTTTATCCTCTACTTTCAGCTGTGCACAAAAGTTAGAAAACTGCCATTTCTAGCTTTAATCAATAACACCAGACACAGAAGCAAGTTTTAAAGATACATGTTTGAGTAGGAAATTAATTATAAATGATAGCTGCCACCCTTGCTGGGGCTACACAGATGATCGCTAGGCTATGCTACAAAATCTGTGCAAGTTCTAAAATTTTAAACTATTACATTTTTGGCTTTGTTGGAGTTGTCTAATTTGCTTATTTAAGCAAATTGTGAATGTTATGTTTAACACTTTCAAGTTTAAGGACTTTCAGTGCCGCATGTTTATGTGGTACTGGAGTCAGGTTAGAACTTTTTCTATTCTAAGCATATTGCAGGTTTTGCCTACCAGATCTGTTCAAATACAGGATTGTAGATTATCCCCAAGGAAGAGCATCCGTCAGGGACTTTGTGCTGGACTTCCCTCACCTTTCCTCCTCTTTCCACTTCTCTCGTCCCCACTCCCTTCCTTGGCACCCAATTGCCCCCTTTCAAGCAACTGTACCACAATTTCCTTTGAGGATTCAACCATCTTGAATACTCGGTCCCCACACTAGGTCAGAACAGCCCACCAGTTATTTGTTCCAAAGCTTGCCATTTGATCAGGTCTTAACCAATGCACAAAGTCACCCCACCTGTCCACAGGGACTGACTCAGAGACTGAAAAGGGACCCTGTCTTGGTCAGAATGAATACCATGATTTTGCTGGATCCATGGAGGAGTAGCCATTCTTATTCTAATATAAAGCTAAGCTAGCACCCTGTAAGTTTTGAGTGTGTGCTAGACATTTTGTCACCTGCCGGAAAAGCCCACCTGAAAATGAATCAATAAGGCAGAGAGGGATGGAGACACACTGATCAGGTGACACAGATCTGGAGCTCCCTGAATTTAGATTTGCCACTGGACTTTATGATCACAGCAGCCAGTATATCACTGCCTCCTCTGCTCCTTTTAAGCTTTCTACAAACCCTCCTGACACAAGGTGTGTGTGTACTCAGGCACTTAGCAGCCCTGTACAGCTCAGTCCTGAGGAAACACAGGTAGGAGTAGGCTAGGAAGTCAGGCAACAGAAGCAGAGCTAATCAGACCCTGCCAGGATCCTCTGCCTCAGCTTCAGAGAGCCTTAGGAATGAGGTGCTCCACCAGTCTCTTTATGAATCCACAATGCAGCCTCCTATGAGCCGCAGCATCTTTAATGCAGAGGATGCTGACTCCATGCACATTGTTTCTGGGCTCACTCATCATCAGCCCCTGCTTCAATTCAACATCAAACTCAGGGTGCAGAGGACCTTAGATCGGGAATTCCTTTCGTACACCTCTCTCCTCCCTCCCTCTCTGCCTCTCTATCTCCCTTCCTTGTTTTCTTTAGATAAAATTACATAGCACATTCAGAATCGATGCTTTTATATCTCTAAGTTCTGCAAGAACTTCTAATCATTCTTCTAACAAGCTGGATCACAAGAACTGGACAGTAGACATGAGAGAAAAAAAAAACAATGAAATGAGACCAAGAAACTTGCCCTAAGGAAATATGGATACAAAGGAAATGATGCATTGTGCTTGTTTTTTTAAAAGCGTTCCCCTCCTCCACTCCCAGAGAAAAGTGATTATCAAATATTTACTTCAGAGGTAAGGTTTAAAAGCCAGAAAGGCAAGTTTCAAGCTTGAAATGTAGGGAGGCTGATGGGTAATGGTGCCTCGGGAGTTTTCAGGGCTCAGAGCAATGTGAAAGAGAAATGGAGAAGAGGAAGGTGAGAGGGGACAGGCTTAGCAGGCGACCTGCCACCAAAACAGCATGGGGACAGGTGCTGGCCCAAGGGCAAATGCAGGCCCCCAAGCCTCTGACTGTCTTAAACACACATGTGGTCGTGGCCTAGAGATGACCCTCCTCATCTTAGTTCATGTCTGCAAAAACCGAGGTCTCCAAATTTGGCACGCACACTTACCTGATGAATTCCACAGAATAGGACTGAATGGGGGAGCTTCCTTCACTCTCTCCAGGTTTCCAAGAGAGGGCCACCCCGGAGTCAGAAACCACAAGGACACGAGGCTGCTGAGGTGCTGCTGGAGGCAGGCAGGGATCTAGGCAGGACAACAAACACCACTAGCCTTGGCTGGTTGCCTCAGCCACCGGAGAAATTGAGTACATAAAAAACATGTGCCTCCCACAGCCAAGCCTCTGTTCAGAAGGACTTCAAAACCCAAACCAAACACCAAAAACTCACAAGCGCATTCACCAGATAAGGTTTGAGTCAGGGAGAGCCTGTCTTCCCTCTTCCCCGCAGCACTTGGGCTGCACAAGCACTGAAGGGAGGCCCTGCTGACTGTGGCTCACACAATGGGGGGCTCCCTTCCGAACCTTCCCTCACACCCCACCTCCAACACCCTCTCATCTTGGTCTGCCTGTTGGAATTGATACATACCATCAAGGGAAAGTAAGTGCTTACCATTCTGCTACTTACTTTCCAACTCTTTCAATGGAAAGACATTTGACAGCGCCTTCCTTGGAGAGGTGGTGATGTTACCAGTAACCCTTTACTGTCATGTCCAGACTTTCATACCTCCCAGTTTTTGTTCATACTGTTGCTTGGGCTCAGGTTTCTCCCACCTTCCAAGCATTTCATTGTAATTCAGGTTGGGAAGGCTGGCTACTTCCCTCTCCCCACACAGAGCGCACTTCTCAGTAGTGACTGCCACCAACCTGCTTGTGCCCCAGTGCCCTCCGTAGTGCCACCTCAATGACATTTATTGGATGCCTTCTGACCATAAATCTGAGCTATATCTCCAGCCCTTTGTATATGTTTTAAATCTTGAGACAGGGTCTCACTACATCCCAAAATTGCTCAAGCTGAGGCCCAAACTGCCATTCTCATCTCTGCCTCAGCCTCATGGAGTACTGGAATTACAAGTGTGCACCACCACACCCAGCTAAATTTGATTCTCTCTCCACTTCCTCACCTTCTTAGTTCCTATTCACCCGTCAGATCTCCACTTAGGTTTCATCTCCTCTCGGAGTTCTCCTCTCCTCCCTAGGTTGTAGGTTCCTGTCGCTCAGGAGAGCATGTCTCCCAGTTTGTGACTTCACACTAATTAATAGTATCTTGACTCTATCCAACACTGTGCTGGCATTGGTTACCCTCATATTCCTGGTGCCTACCAGTATGTGGCACACGGTGGTTCCTTACTGACATCTACTTTATGATGGTATGAATGAATAGCAGCCTGTCCTTTTCTTATCAATTAATTTGAACCCCTTTTACCTTGGGACGTAATGGTAATGTGCCGAGGAGAGCTGAGCCTCCCTTTGGCAGCGTGGCTGTAAGCTGCTATGCTCACTCGATATTCCGTGCCCGGCTTCAAACCTCTGATCACTTCTTCCTGTCAACAAGCAAACAGAAAAAGTGCTAATGATCAGAATCTCTGTTTGGGCAAACTGTACAGTTTCCATGAAATTTATACCTTGGAGATCCTGTGAAATTGCTTGGGACACAGACTGTTTTGCTTTGACTAGGGCTGGCTAAGTTTTAAAATTTGCTGAAAGAAAAACATCATAGCATATTTCCCGAGATGAGAGGGCCACCCTTTATTGGCATCTACACACTGCCCTAGGGCTGGATTCATTGTCACTAGCACGCGTTGCTCTCAGCATCTGAATTCCTTGATCAAAGTAAAACATTCTGGGATGCAGGTAATGGTCCTTCCCAGAGTAGGAATCCCAAGTTTTTTCTTTCTATTTGCAGACTTCAGATGCTCACAGACCAGCTATACCTCAAACGAAGGTCTTGATTTATGCTTATAAAGTAGGGACTAAAAGTAAAAATGAGTAAGGTGTGATATGTGTATGTCCTAATTCCCCATCTCCAAGATGAATATAATTATTTTTATTATAAATATATAAAGAGAAAATATAAGCAGCATCAGAAGCACCACAAGGGCTTTCTTAAAACAATTTCTTGGGCCTGATCCAGTACTTCTTGGGGAGGGCCTGAGAATTGGCATTTCTAACAAGTTCCCATTCCGGGGGGTTCTCAGCCCAGCTTTTGACCCAAGGGCCACCCACTGAGTACCACTATGGTTAAGAGTGGATGGATGTGTGAAGGCCTCTGCAAAAGAGTTCTGATCTGAAAGCCCCAGTGAAGAGGAGTCTCCACCTTCAGCTTCAGCAGACGTGGTGTGCTGGGCTGGGGATGTAGCTCAGTGGTAAAGTGCTTGGCGGGCATGTGTGAGGTCCTGGGTTTGAGCCACATGCAAAAAAATATATATATAAAATGGTGTGTTAGATAGTAGGCGGGAGCCTGTCCTCATCAGTGAGAAGCAGCAGCGCACTGTCATAGGAATACCACCAGTTAGGAGTCAGCAAGAACTGGACTTGAATCTTGATTTTGCTACTTAGTACTGAGTTTGGACTTGATATTAAATCCCTGAGCTTCAGGTTCTTGCTGCATAAAATGGGCATGACATACAATTATCTTGCAAGATCATATGGTTGGGGATAATGTATGCAGAGTAGCTGGTAGGAAGGATGTGCTCAAGTAATGGGTTATAATGACTGCTCTCTTGGGTGTGCGGGTATGTGGAGGGGTGCTCTACCTCTGCTTACCTAGACTCCCCATCCACTCCAAAACCCACACCCTGCTCCTGACACCTTCCCTGAGCACACTGACCTGGCGATTCCCTAATAAATGCTATATATATATATATATATATATATAAAATTTCTGACACCAAATCCAAGACTACACAGACATGACACCATGAATAGAAAATTTTTCACACCTGACTGTGTGGCAGGACACAGTCAAAACACAAGTACACTAAAAATGTTGCATAAAATTACCCCTAATGTATGGGTACAAGGTCTACATGAAATATAAATAAATTTTGTGTTTAGACTTGGGTAACATCACCAAGATATTTCATTATAATACACATACAAATATTCCAAACTCCAACAACAAAATGAAATGAAATCTGAAACAATTTGCTCTCAAATATTTCAGATAATGAGCATTCAACAGACAAAATGAATTTTTACAATATCGCTGATGAGAATGTAAGCCAGTTGAGATACTTTTAATCCCCTGCTCTTTACCCAACAATGGATGTTTAGTCATTTTCAGAGGATACTGTGAAGAAATATGTTTTAAAAGCATTCAACAAATAACTGTCAAAGTTTAATGCAGTAGTTCCTTTTCAAAACCTTAACCCTAACCCTAACCCTAACCCTAACCCTAACCCTAGCCCTAACCCTAACCCTAACCCTTATCATAGTAGTTCTTAAACCCTGACTGCATCTTAGAATCTCTTGAAGATCTAAATCAATCAATCAGTGCTAATGTTTAGGGTCCACTCTGGACCACTTAAATCAGAATCTCTGAGAACAGTTTCCAAGAGTCTGCTTGACACTCTCCAGGTGATTCTACGTTCAAGTTCATGTACCACAGGTCTAGGGAGTGTCTCACCCTTCCTCTCTTATGTTTCTCCAATCTCCCTCACAGGTCCCTGATTTTCCTGCATTTACCATGTTCAAATCGCTCCCACCTCTAAAACAATCATTCCCCTACCTCATATGACTTCTTGCTCCTCTCCTCACAGACTACCTTCTTGAAGTTGTGTCTACTTCCTTACCTCCTAGTCACTTTTCAACTTCCATCTGGCTATCAAACCTATTGCAATATTCTTAACAAAGTCCCCATAACAGCACTGTAGTAAATCCAATAGGTCTATCTCAGTTTCTATGACTCTTTGCAACTTTCAATTCTATTGTTGCTTCTGAAATCTCTTGACTTCCTTTGAAGCAATGGCTCTGATCCTTCTTGGTCTCTTACTTCTCTTGCTGCTGCTTTTCAGCATCCTCTGCCCATTCTCCTTTCTCTGTTCGTCTTTACCAGGAGCTTATCCATTACCACCTTCTCTTTTCCGCTGCAGCCGCTTGTGTAGACAAACACTTCTACACTCACCTTCATGGGGATGCCTCCCAAATCTGCGCCTCCAGCTCTGGCCTTCCTTTAGATCTAGGTGTGCATTTGTGACTGCCTTTTGTCTACACAATGGCTGCCAACCACTCAAGTTCAACACAATCAAAGCTCATCTAATCATTCCACCGCCCACTAGCAAAATAGAGCTTAACCTATTGCATTCTTCCTAATTACCCAAACTTGAAATTCTTTACACTGTCCCCTATGTGCTCCTCTCTAACCCTAACCACCACTCAGTTAGTTACCAGTGGAGCCAATGCCACTTGCTTTGTACTGTTTGAATTTATTTATGTCATTTCATCCTTACAGGCATATAAATCCAAGTCCTTATAATTAAGGCAGTGCTTTCTCTGCCACAAAAGCTGCCTGTACAATTTTGACTTCATATTGCTGTGCTGAAGTTACATTTCTAATTTTCAAATATGAGCATATCTCTTTCCACTTTATAATCCAGCCTATTTATGTGCCTCCGTTTATCCTTCTAGCACCAGCCCCTGCCATCTCCCCTCCTTGCATTGTATATTCCAGTCATACTTAAGAAGTTGGCAGGGTTCAAATTTATGCCATTCAATTCCTTGCCTCTGGGCCTTTGAACCTGCTATTTCCTCTACATGAAATGCCCTTCTTCCTACTCTTGCCTGGCTCACCCTGCTCATCCTTCATGACTCAGTTCAGCTGAGACATTACCTCATTTCTCTAACCCCAGCCCCAGTCTGGTTAGGTGCCCCTCCTCTACGCTTCTTTGGTGTCCTTGGTGGACCTCAATCTTACGCTACTCACCTTATACTGTAATTGTCTGTTTATTTGTCACCTTCTCCCCATCCACATGAGGGCAGAAAGCAAGTTCTTATTCTTCTGGCATCCCAAAGCTTAGCACAGTGTTATCAGACATATAGCAAACACTCACGCAATGCTTTCTGATGAATGAATAAGTGTACTGAAGTGAAATGAAAGAAAACAGTCAAGAGCCAAGATGGCCCATATAAACAGATTACCTCATCAAGAAACCAGTTTCAACTACCGACTCCGCCATCAGAATCAACAGCATCTTATCTGCTATGGTTTGAAGGTGTCCTCCCAAAGAACACACGCTGGGATTTTAATCTCCAATTAAACAGTGTTGGGAGATGAAGCCTCATAAGAAGGGATCAGGGCACAAGGGCAGGGCTCTCCTGAGTAGATCCACGCCATTATTTTGGAGTGAGCTAGATGAGAGTGGGTTAATAATCACTGAGAGTGAGCTGGTTAGAAGAGCAAGCTCGATCTCCTCTTTGCTTTTGCACCTTCCACTGCTGGATGGCACAGTAAAGGCTGCACCAGATCCTGCACAGAGGTCAGTGCCACGCCTTTCAATTTCCCAGCCTTAAGAACCATAAGCCAAATAAATTTCATTGCTTTATAAATTACCCATGCGTGACATTCTATTACAACGGAAACATAACAGTACCTCTGCCTCAGATGCCAGAGGCAGTAACTCCAAAGACAAGACTCAAATTTTCTTGTGTCCACGTCCACCATGCCTTCAGAACCTGCTCCCCGGTTCCGCTCCATTTTGGTGCTATATGCAGGCCTCCTGAACTCTACCTGCACAGCATCCCAGACAGTATCTGTCTCAAAGTTGTCCTTCCCTTCCTCTCATCCTCTCTCCACCCTAAACAAGGAATCCTTGCTGAACATACAGAACTTTTTATTCCTCCCCTTCTGCTCTACTTTCATGTACCCATGCTCCCACCAGAAGCTCAACCTTCCATTGCTAGGTTGTGTCAAGTTGAATGGCCAAGAATCCGAGGGAGCAGGTGGACCAAAGCTCTTCTCACTCTCTCCCTTATGCCCCTCCAGGCTCATCCCATAAAGCAGAAACACAGTTTCCAATGAACCCAGTGCTCTTGCAGCCTTTGGCTTTAGGATCCTTTTCTCCTGGGAAGTCACCATGCTCTATGTAGTATGGGGTAGTGGTGGGATTTCATAGATTACCATAGATATTAGCTATGCATCAATACCAAATTTACTCTCTTTAATTGCCATGGATGGGGGTGCTTTCTCTGTCTTAGGAAAAAGCTATCTTTGTACACAGCCTTATTTAATTCTCCCTTCATTCCTGCAAAGTAGATATCTTTCTCATCTTCACTTAGAGAGGGTAAAACTAAAGCCCTGAAAATTTCATAATTTGGTCAAGGATGTGTATTTAGCAAGTATCAAAATAGAAATTTGAAACTTGCTTAGCTTGACTCCAAGACCTGAGTTCTAACTGGATAATACCTGCATGAAAAATATTAAGTGTTGTTTAAATCAACAAAACGTAGGATTTATGAATAAAGAAGACTAATTGTTGATGCTTTACCCATGGAAGTTAATGTACCAGAAATGCAAATGGTACCACTGACAATCAAGGAAAAAATATAGAATTTCCCTGTATAGATTAAAATATTTAAACTGCGTATTTGATATAAAAGATTAGCACTACCCTCGGCTAGGGCGAGAGGTGCAGGGTGACCCTCCAGGAGCCACTTGCTTCCAGTCTGTCTTTTCCTGCATTGTTGTGCCAGCAAACTGGTGTAAGCGTGAAGGGTTGAGAGGACGGAATAACTGGGGCCATGAGAAAAGGAACTGGACTCAGTGATTTAGCCGTCATTTTTCCCCTAACATCCCCCCTCCCAAATGAAGTCCTTCATTACTTTGTGGCTTGTGATAATCTTTGGAATTTTCAGTAACATATCACAGAATTCCACAAATCTTTGCATTTCTGCTCTGGAGCATTTAACTACTACTTCAGCCTTGCATCCAACTAGAAAAGATGCTGAATATGCTCTTTGCCAAATAAAAAACACATCATATTTTGCTGTGTTTTGTTGCCTTGTGGAAGTCTGAAAACAAAAAGATGTTTATCTCTCTTGTAATTTATTTCTGCACAAGACAGAAATAGAGTAGGAGAAGTTGCCTTTTTGGAGCAGAGGCCAGAGAATATGAAGTTTTTTCCAACTCCTAGTTCCTCTCACTTTTTTGATTTGCAGTTGGGTGCTTTGCTGCAAAAACAAAAACAAGTAAACAAGCAAGGCAGACAAAACAAAACCCTTCTACGTGTTTGTGTAGCTCTTTCTGTTTTTTTTTTTTTTTTTTTTTTTTTTAAACTGGGAATCAAACTCAGGACCTTGCACATGCCAAGCAGGCACCTGTGACAGAGCTACATCCCCAGCCTCCCTTTCTGATATGCAACACCAAAAATGTTTCCTTTATCTTCCCTACTACTGATGAATTTACATATGTATAGCAGAGAAAAGCAAAGCAAGTCCTTACACAAAGCCCAAGAAAACCTCCAGCAATTTTGAACCAATGAACTGTTACCAGGGACTCTCTCCTTTCCCACAGATAGCCCTTTAACAACAAACTTCCATTTCATGATCAGGATAATTACAGTACACTGCATCTATGTTGCAATTTGGAATTTATAAATCATGGCATGCCACTGCCTCTTAATCCTCACAACAGCCCCAAGAGGTCAGTCCTATGACCCCACCTTACAGATGACGCAACTAGACCCAGAGAGTTTGTATAACTGTGTTTAGGGGAAAGAGCAGGTCTAGTTTCCCTCATAAAACACACCCCAACTTACCTGTCCCAGTCACTGGACTTCTAGACATAGCACATCTAATTCTCAGACTAGCCTCTTTTTAAATTGCTTTTTTCACATCTTCTAGACCAGCACCACTCCCTCCATTCACAGTCTGACCTGGATGACTGTTATCCTCTAGTACCGTTTTGCTCCTTGCTCATAACAGAATTCCTATATTTCACTTGGGTTACAGCCACTGGAAAACCCTCAGCCTCCTTTCCTTCTGAGTGTGGTCATGTGACTAGATTCTGTCCAATAGGATGAGAGTGAAAATGCTGAGTTCAATTTCTGAATTATCCCTTTAAAAGAAAGGTCACATGTGTCTTCTCATCTGTTGGGTAGGGTAGAGATGTGGCAGTGAGCCATTTTGGACCATCTGGATGAGGGCACAAGGGGTTGGAAGAACAGTGGAATAGAAGGACCTGGCATCTCTGCCACAAGAAAAGTCCTACACTCTTTTTATCCTGAGAGTCACTGAGGAAAACATGATGGATACCTTGTTAGAATCACTGTTATTTTGATGTTCTGGAATACCAGGCTTACATCATAGCTAATATATCACCCAGACTACAAAAATACCTTATGTATCAGAAAGAGGATCCCCCGCAAACAATGGGACTATTGTTTACTAAATAAATACCTTTCACTCAGCTTGATGAAATTACTTTGAATGACTCTGAACTTACATCTCTGACTCTGATTTTGGATTTCACTTCTATTTCCTTACATGCTACTTTGTTCTGCTAGGAATCTGGATCAGTTTGTCTTGGAAATGAAGCAGGAGGTTGTCCTATTCGCTAGTCCAGATGAGCACAGCTATGAGGAGGCATGAAGTGAACAAGGTACTGCACTAGCAGCAAGGAGACCCAGGTCTTATTGTAAACTAGCTGTGTCCGTGGTGGTGCCACTTAGTCTCTGCCCCAATGGTTCAGTACCAATAGCCTTTCATTCTTAAATAACTGTCATTGGTAGTGACTAAACACGCACTGCGCTTCACAGATGACTATAAATCCTTCTTTGCTTTAGAGACTGTTGAGGATACCGACAATCTTTGAAGGCACCGTAAAATATGAATGGAACATCTAATTATCCTTCCTCCAATGGCCTTGAGAAAAGCTGTGCAGAACAAAGTAGAAGGATGTGTAGGGAGTTCTGGTTCTTGAATGTTCACAGGTAGCTAGAAAGCATTTTCCAAGGCTGTGCAGCAGGGGTTGGAAAAAGTGTCTTTGAGCAGATTTGTCCTGAGTATTATAGGAAAGTTAGCATCTTGGATGCCTGCCTACTAATATGACAACATCTATTTCTCTAGCCTCCTAGAAGACCAAGTTATCTTCAGTGGGGAACCCTTGCTAGTCTATCCCATCATTTTATAGTCAATGAGACATTCAGAGAAGCTCACCCTTACTCTGGTGACAGAATGAGGATGAGATGCAAGTCTTTGGATTCTTAGATAGGTTTTCTATCTCTAATCTTGGCTAAGACCCAAACCACATCACTATTCCGGATCAACAAACCAGCACGTTCCAAAGCAGAGTGAGGGTGCCTCCTCTCCCTCTCCAGGCAAGACGATCTACTGAGATGCCAGAGGAAAATAGGACATTCTATGTCTGTTTTATCTCCTCCTTTAAAATTCTGTGGCACCTTATAATGTGCATACATTTTACCATAGTAGTATATGTATAATTTATAAATACATAAATAAACATGTACTAGTATGCATTCAAATATGTTTCAGCTAATGGTGTAAATGATCAAAAAGTGTGGAAACCACCAGTCTAAGCATCATTTTCTACTTCTAACTCTAAAATAATTCTCAAATTTCCTTGCTTTGTTTTACTATTTTGTTTTCTAGGAAGAAACCTGTTGGACATTCTTATAAGACAAAAGATAAGGTGAAATGCTAACCAAATTAGAAGCATCTAGAAGGCAGATTTGCAAACAATGCATTGGAATTACCAGCTGGATTATTTTGGCCCATTTATTATTTTAATCAAACTAATCATTTTTCAACCCAATATCTTGTCTGGCATTCAGTCTGGAAAATCAAATCTTGCTGAAAAGACAATCTGGAATTATTAAAGGAAACAAGGAAAGGAGAGGTTGAAAGGAGGGGCATCACCTCCAGGAGATGTTCTCTGGTTTAAACATTTTCCCTCTTTTTCAATAAGTTTCACCTGGTCTTGGAACAGAGTTTAAATTGGTTTACCTTTAATTATGTGTCTCATAAGCTTACTCGGCCATGAGAGGGGAAGCAGCACGCAGAAGGAGAAGAGCATCTTCTTTCGAGATGACTAAAAATCAACCCGGCACACTTGGTAGGGTCTCCTTACACTACAACTAAGCAGACTCCACCGAGCCTTGCTCAAGATGAGAGAAATACAAGAAAACCAACATTTTTATGAAAAGAGACCCCCCCACACCCTCAAATCCTAGACAGGGATAAGGAGTAAATTCTTCTAAAACATACTTACAAAAATTGCCTGATGGCCATATGGTCCCTGGAGAATGGAAAACAAACAAAACAGAAGAGACATGAGTAATGAAAGAAAATTTGCAGGACTAAAATTAATCCACAGAGCACCTGCCCTTGCTCTAGCCTGAAAGCTAGAGCAGCAAATGCATCTTTGCAATATGCATCTTACCAAACATTTACTGAGCTCTTATTTCAGGCCAGATGTCATGCTGAAGGTGCTACAACCATTGACTCCGAATACTCACAACACCCATAGGATGATATGATAGAGGTTAAGTCTCCCAAACCTTGTTTGTGGCATACTTATTTACTTAGAAACCTTTTTATGGCATCTGTGGGCCAGAAGAAATGCCTGAGTTCCATTTATTGAGTAGTTGCATCCAAACAACTTGTTATTAGTAGTTTACACAAATGTTACTGTTTTCCCTTGAAAATTGTAACTATTCTATGATGCCTCTGTCAGATTGCTGCAGCACCCTGAGGCACCCTGCCACATGGATGCACAGGCAGGGCAGATACATTACCTGTGGCATAGATAGTATTAGTATCTCTATTTTGTTGATGACAATCTGAGGTTCAAAAAGGTTACCCAGCTGGTTTTTGTAATGCAAGAGTCTAAAACATATGCGGTCTGAACCCACAGCCATTCTAACGCCACCCTCTGCCCTCTCGGTTCCTGACTCGCTGCACTTGTGTCATTATTCCTCTCTCCAACCAGTATATCCTGTAACACTTCCACCTTTGCCCAAACATACATGTACAGAGGCATGTGAACACAGATGCATGTCACTCGTGGGTTCAGACCATTCCTTTCCATTGGGATGCCCCTCCCTTGAGTATTACTTTCTAGAAAATTTACTGCTTCAATTTCCAGCCCCAAGATTTACCTCTTGACCACTTATTCCCTTACTCATCTCCACCTCCTAAAACCCTGTGTATCTACCAAGTGGCATAAGAATGACCTCTGGTCTTGTGTTGTTGTCTAATGATTTTATCAGTGTATGTGTGATTTTCTCAAATCACCAAAACAAGGAGTGGGTGTTATCTAGTGCTGGACCTAAGGAAGCTACTATGGCAGTTTGTTGAAATCAGCAAGATGATCAAATGCTAGAGTTGACAACATACTCTAATGCCTGGGTAGAAATAACAGAGAATATATTTAGCATAGAAGTAATCAGGAATGATACTAACATCTCTATGGCTTTTACATTTCATGTAAGGCTTTAATACACAATTTTATTTGTTTTTCATAGCAGTTTAATTACAATATTCTCCAAGGGAGAAAACTGAAGCTTAGAAAAGTTAAGTGACTGGGTAAAATTCCAACCTGCAAGACGACACAAAGCGGGTCCAGAAGCCCAGTGCACCTGGCCCCCTTCTGGCCCTCTGCTTTTGGTCTGCCCTGCAGTAACCTTACAGATACACCAATTTTTGGCCCAGGTCCTATGTGAAAGGCAGGTTTTCTGTTTCAAAAGCTCTGTTTAGATTTCAAGCCACTAGTGCTGTGTCCACCATATCTAGATTGTTCCAGGCAGAGCTGTGAGCCCCTTGGGGACACTGCTAGGGATGATGCCTACCCTTGGTGGCCCTGCTGGGCTGATGTGAAGTTCCAGGGTTCTCAAAGGGAGAGGGAACTTCAAACTCATGTTTTGCTAGATGAGGCCAACCCAATGTCCCCTCTTAGGATCACGTAACCTTGGGGTTGGGGCTGAGGGCTTTTGAAGCTAACAAGCTTGTGCAAGCAAAAATCTAGTTTAAGATAAAAAGCATGCCATAGAAATACAAGCATCCTAAAAATGTGCATCAATTGTTTTGAGGTCACGCGAGCTTTGGCAAAATTTGCTAGGGTAAGGGCTCAAGAGTGTCAGCCCTGGGGTTACTGTCAGCTCTGTTTCTTACTAATATATGATTTGGGGAAGTTACTTCACCTCTCTGAGTCTCGGCATTCCTGTCAGTAACATGAGGTCATAGGATAGCTGTGAAGAATAAATGGCAAAACAAACGTAACGCATGAGGAATGGTCTTGGCAGGTGACAGACAATAAGTCAGAGCCACTTATAAAAGACGACAAATAAGTCTTAGACTCGGCTCCATGCACAGGCACTTATTAAATAAGGAACAGCATTGCCACTGCTACCACCTGTTTGATAGTGTTACGGGCCAAAGTAGTGCCACGGAAAGGCTCTAGCCTGGAGCCTATAGCAGCAGACCAGAGAAGAGGAGCACAAAAAAAAAAAAAAAGAAACCAGAAGGTGCTGAAGGCAAAAACATTCACCCAGAGAGACCTTCACAGGAAACAGGAAAGAAAGGGAGGAGGAGCTGACAATTGCACTGAGCTCGAAAAGGAAAATAAATAACTTGCACTGTTCAAATATAAATTTCAAATTATGTCTTTTTCTTCTGCATTGTGTCTCCAGGAAGTTGGGAAGATACAAAAGTGTTGTATTTACTTAGAAAGCTTTCTTGGGATTTCAAAGAAAATCAGAATTAAATGTTAAGAAGAAAAGAAGGGGAAAAAAATAACAAGGTGGCTGTTTCCTCCCCCTGACAAATGGGATTGGGTCTGAGATAGCAGCATTTATGCCAGGACCCTTTCAACACATGTCTACCTTTGCAGAGAAGGAAAAGGCAGGTCACAGAGGTGGCATACATGCAAAATATCTAGAAATTCTAAAGGACTTTACAAATATTATTATTAATATGCAGAAGGAAGCACCTGTACCAATTTAGAGATCCATCTGAGCTTCCCTGGATGCCAAGCGTCCAGGTGTTTTGGAGGGGGCTGGCAGCATGGAGATACTCACAGTGACTGGGCTGTCCCAGCTGAGTGGCACACTGTGTGACTGCTCCCACAGGGACTTATCTGCACCGACCTCAGAGTAAAAGACCTTGAAAAGACCCAGAAAGCCTGGTGAGAACAGAGCCAATACTTCTCTAAGATCAAAGGTTCAAGTCACACTCACAGAGGTGGTATTTCTGAAATGCATCATCCCACCCCACACGCTAGTTTGGAGGGAATGAACGTCAGATACACCCGTTGGGCCACAAGCTCAGAAGCCCGCAGAGGCTGGGATGAAGACCCATATCACTGAAGGAGGGTGAAGACAGCAGGTTCTCCTCCTCTCAGTTCCCCAAACTACAACCCTCACAGAGAATGTTCATTTTCCCACATTTGATATGACATGAGTCCAGAAAGGAAGGGCTTCTGTCCCTGGGTGAAGTGGACATAGTGTGGAGTGGTGGAACTTGTGTGTTATGGAGGGCTCTGATCCCATGTCAAATGGGAGCTCAGCTGCACAGTGCAGGGTGCTCCACAGAAACGTGAGTTCATTGCGGTCAGTGCTTCCCATACAACCAAGATTTCAGAGATCTGAATATCATCAGAAATATCCTGACTTCTAAAATCTGACTTGTTTCTAAAAACACTGACCAAAGAAAACATTTTGATGCCCTGAAATCTGCCCAATTTGCAGTCTGTGATGGTAAGACTGCTTCTCTGTTCCTTCCTCCACTTGACCTCCCCACTCTTTTGATTCAGATCTTATTTTATTTAGTACTTATAACATTGCACCGTGACTTCCTTTGATTTTCCATGTTTCTGTATATCCTCTAAGTTTGGCTAGAGGCAACTGGAGATCAGAAGACACCTTCTATTTGCTTTGTATTTTCCTACTGCTGCACAGAAATAATCCTAATTAATGAATGCAGACGGCATTTCAGAGCTCTTACAAATGCCTTAAAACATTTCTTACAGTTTCACCAAAGGAAGATGGGGCAGTTGTTCATATGGGAGGGCTGACATAAGGAGCGCATTGGTGGGTTGACCATCCATAATCCATAAATTCAAAATCTGAAATGTTTCAAAATCTGAAACTTTTTGAATCTCTACACCAAAGTAGAAACTTCCACATGGGACAGTCAAAACAAAGGAGTACTAAAAAGTATTGCACGAAATTTCCTTTAGGCTAGATGTATAAGGGATATATGAAACATAAATTTTGTGTTTATACTTGGGTCATGTCCATCCTTAAGCTATCTCATTATATTTGCAAATATTCCAAAATCCAAAACATTGCCAATCACAAGCATCTTGGCTTAGGAATACTCAACCTGTTATAGGAGGTACTGGGATAGGAAGGATGTCCAGACATCCAAGCACACCCATGCTCATGTACTCACTGTGTACCCAATGATTGGGCTCCCAGGAGACCGTGGCATTTTCCATTTGATGCTGAAAGCTGTACAGTTCAATGCGCCCAGTTTGATGTCAAGTGGAGGCCCCAACTTGCCTGTCCCCAAACAAAAGAGATTGTATTAGAAGCTTCATGCATTCTGTCTTGAATATATTTACACAAAATTTAAGACCATGTGCTTATAGATGGAGACATAATTCAAGATACCTGCTGGGATGACTGTGTATCATTCCCTCTGATACACAACACCTGTCTCAACTGACCCCACCAGAAATTTACTGTCCCTCCCCAACATGGCATTGGTAAAGATATTAGCCCCCAAATTTCTCTTGGTCCCTTCCGTAACATCTAAAAATCAGGCACCAGCAAAGTGAGATTAAAGGTAGCATAGACTTGACTCTTCTCACTTGAATCTAGAATTTTGGAATAAAGCAAGATGATGAGCTTTTATTTATTCATAATATATATGTTGTATATATGATATATATGCATCTACTCAGTATATACTTATCATGGAATATTTGAAAATATGGTTAAGTATAAAATGAGATGTAAAATGTTCAAATATTTTACTCTCAATTTATCTTAGACAATTGTACAACTATAAATAACAAATGTTATAATTACAAAACATGCAAATGGCCAAAATATAGAATATAGAAAATAAAAAATATGAAATTCTCTCACTCAGAGGTGAGTCTTGTCAGCATTTTGGTATATCTCCTTTTGGTTGTATACAATTAAGCAAACATTGTTTCATTCTGTGCGTGTATTTATATCTATATATATATATAGATATAAAAATCTTATTTATTCTCTTTTGTTATACTGATTATGTTTATATATATGCTCATAATTTTTACCTTATCATACTTAGTCTACTTTTAATACATGTATTAATTAATACATTAATGTTTATTAATCCAATAACATTAATGACTGAATGTGTATAATGCATGCACTATAATAATGTTCATTGCTCTGTTATTGTTAAACAATTTCTCCCACATGTTGCCATTTTAAATAATGTTCTGTGAGGGCAGGAACCAGGTTTGTCCTGTTCATCATAAAGAGACTAGTAGGGGCTGGGGATTTAGCTCAGCGGCAAAAGCGCCTGCCTGGCAAGCGCAAGGTCGTGAGTTCGGTTCCTGGTACCGGAGAAAAACCAAAAAAAAAAAAAAAAAAAAAAAAAAAAAAAAAAAAAAAAAAAAAAAAAAAAAAAAAAAAAACAAAAAAAAATATAAAGAGACTAGTAAACAGCAAGTTCACTAACTATTTTTTAAGTGAATGAATGTTCTGCAATTTGATATCCCACTTCCTACTTTGTCTTGATGTTCTTTCTTTTTAATGGCTGCATATATTTCTCTAGCATATCAATTATGGTACTTTGCAATTTACAGAGATCTAATGTATCTATTTATTGGACTGGAGCCAGTTTATTGCTGCTGGGACAATCCACTAATTTTTTTCCATTGAAAGATTTCCATTACTTAAATTCATTTTAATGATTCTAAAAGCTGAGGAAATTGCTCAATTAACCCCAAGTATTATACTGCATTAACTTTATATAACATACATTTTTGGGAAAGTCTCCAGATGTCTCAGCTACTTCTTCTTAAATAACTATCTCACTAGTCATTTTAATAACAGAACCTGAAGCTTTTCTGGTACAGTAAGTAATAGAGGCTCAGTTCTGTCACTTAGCAAGAATTATGAGGCCAGGCATCAGCTTCCTCTGTCCCATAGATACTTACATCTCTTACTACTCAAGGTTTTAATTTTCAATGATCCCTTTGGCTCTGCCTTTGATCAGATTCAAAATTTCATCCAATGGCCAAACGTAAGCCACAGACTTCCTCCTGGCTCAACGCAAGGTCAAGAGAGAAAGGATGAGAGTTCTTTCTAGTTTCTAAACTAAGAAATGACAGCATGAAGAGGATCCTGGGAATGTTCTTATACCAGCCTATCCTCAGAAAAGGCTGGCATCACAGGAAAAGAACAGGAGGAGGTCACGTGCCCAAACACTCTACTACACACAGCAAGCACGTATGTTAAGCACTGCCCTACTGAAGGACATTTAGGTTGCTTCTCAAACTGTGCAGTTAGAGTAAGTAACAGATACTCTGTGCTAGACAGAGCATCTGTGTGTGTGCCTTTTGTAGCAAATGAACATAACTTAATTATTTATGAAAAATAACCAATATGGGGAATATACATTTCAATTTTTTTGTAGCTACTGACATTATTCTCCCCAAAATATTAAACAAATAAACCTTTAAAAATGTTTTGTTAAATTTGTATAAGTTAAAGCAGAATTCCTGTACCCCCGAAGTTTCTTAGCTTTGGTATTACTGCTATTTTGAGCCACACAGTTTAGGGAGTTGTACTGCTTGCACTGTAGAACAATTAGTATCATCCCTGACCTCTACCCACTAGATAATAGCAGCCTCCCCAAACCAGTGGTGAAAACCAAGTATTTCCCAACATTGCCAAATATCCTCTGGAGGGCAAAATTTCCCTCTCCCCACACACTGAGAAGTGCCAATTTAGGAGAATGAATATTTTTAAAACTTTCAAAAAAATACAGTCCAACTTACATCTAGAAAATTAAGCAACTTGTAGGCTTATCATGGTATGTGAGATTGCTCAATATAAGTAACGCAGCCTTGGCAGGTCTGAGTGTTGCCATTTCAAATGTTTGGCTCTGCAAAAGACACTGTCAAGAGTATAAAAAGATAAGCCATAGACCGGAAGTGAATATTTGCAAAAAAATATACCTGATAAAGTGCTATTAGCAAAAAAAATAGAAACACTATAGACTGAATGTACATGTCCATCCAAAATGGATATATTGAATCTAATTCTCAATGTGGTAGTATTTGGAGATGGGGCCTTTGGGCATAATTAGGTGTGAGGGTGGAGGTCCCTGAATGGGATTAAAGGTCTTATAAAAGAGACCTCAGGCTTCTCTCCCTTCCCTTCTGCTATACGAGGACACAGCAAGAAGCTCAAGAAGAAGCCTTCACCTGACACTAAATATGTTCTTGGACTTCCCAGTCTCCAGAACTGTGAAACATAAATTTCTGTTGTTCACAAGCCATCCAGGAACTCTCATGCATTCCTGGTAGGAATGCAAAATGGTAGGGGCCACTTCAGAAGACAATTGGGTGGTTTCTTATCAAATTAGTAATACTCTTATCATATTACCCAGCACTTGCACTCCTTGTTATTTATAGGACTTAAAACCTTATGTTTAAACAAAACCTTTTGCATGGATATGTAGAGCAATTTTAGTCATAATTACCAAAACTTGAAAGTAAGCAAGATATCCTTAGGTGAATGAAGGAACTGTGGTACATTTAGATAACAGAATATTATTGAGCACTAAAAAGAGATGAGATATTAAGCCATGAAATAATTAAAATAGTTCTCTTTTTTTTTGCCTTTTTGAGAGAGGGTCTCATTATGCAATTCAGGCTGGCCTAGAACTCACTTTGTAGCCCAGGCTGGTCTCAAACTCACAATAATCCTCCTGCCTACACCTCCCAAGTGCAGAGATTACAGGCATGTGCCACCACACACTGTTTAGTTCTATTTTAATATGTCAATACATGACATAGTCCACAAATTACATCCTTTGCATCAATTTACATCAATTTAAAATGACAACTTTAGAAATCATTCTAAAAATGTGTGTAGGCACACACCAGCAGGTGGAACCAGCAAGAGTAGGCCCAGGTGTCGGCACACACACTGGCAGGCAGGATAGTGGTGCGCAAAAGTCTGAAGCAGCAGGGAGAATATGAGCCAGCAGTTGGTGAGTTAGGTGAACCAACATTCTGCTCCAGCACACAGGTGGAAAAGAAACCAGTGGGGCCACCATTCTATATCAAAGGGCTCTGAGAGAACTCCAGTAATGAACGACCAGTCCCAGCCCCCACATCCAGAGGCCAAGATTAGACCCATACCAAGCACAAGTACCACTGCAAACTTGGCTGGAGTATACAGCACATTTCTGGGATCCGACTTGGATACTACCACAGAGCTGTGGACAGCAGAGGAATTTTACTACTTCTGTTTTCCTTTGTTTGTCTGATTGGTTATCCTTTTCCTGTCTGGCTGAGTTGTGTTTTGGTTTTTGTAGTTAGTTTCGTTTGGCTTTTGTTTTTTTCTTTTTTCACTATGTAGGTTTCTTACCTTTCTTTTTGTTTTCTTCAATTCATCTTCTTTCTGTCTTTCCTCAACTATCTCTTGAATTTATAATATTTTCATGTGAGTGAACATTGTCTCTTTTCTTTCTGGTTCCTTTCAATAGTCTGTCATTTTCTCTTTCATTCTTTCTCTCCTGTGTTCTCAGTTTCCCTGATCATATTTTGCCCTTCAGCCTTGCTTTTACTATATTTGACCTCATTCATCTCTCTGTGTTGTCTCCTATCCCTCTTAAGCCCTGCCCTCCTTAGTGGAGGGTAAAACTACTCCACTAAGGGGAAAATCATTGGATACAAGTTCCTGATATATGTTGGATTTTGTTATATAACTGTGGAATTTGCTCCTATAAGTAAAGGTATCAGGTTAATAGCTACCACAGTTTGTCAGTAGCTAGACTATATTTGATGCTACTGTTATTGCTAACTTTACCACATGAGCCAGGATATCATACATGTTTTTTTTAATATTTTTATTTTAAAAAGAATAAAAATAATAAAAAACATTAGAAACAATACAGAATTTTACAAAACAAGATGATAGGAATTCAACAATGGTTGTTACATTGCATATTGTTGTCTTCAAATTAGTTGTTCAGATTACCAGATACAAGCATGCAAAGCTTGTCAAAAAATTTAAGCATTAACTGTTCCTTTCAATAAAACAAGAGAAATCAGCAGTACAATTATCCTAGCTATTCTGTGTGTGTGTGTGTGTGTGTGTGTGTGTGTGTGTGTGTGTGTATTTCCCTTCTTTCTTTTCTCCTTTCCCTCATCTCAGTTGTTCTTTCCTTTTGAGCAGTGTGTTTCCCTTTCACAATATCTATTGTATCTTTTGGATTTTCTTTGCTCTGTCAGATTCTTACACTAGGGAGACAATATGAGGTTTAC